GTACTTAGAAGTTCTTGTTCCCCCTTCCCCAGCAGGGGCACCCCTCCAGTTCTACCCTTCCTTAGCACTAGGGCACAGCCTCTGTCCTTCTCCCTATGGAGCCTATACTGGGCTGTCACTACCTTCTTCCCCTGGACCCTTGCCTCTTGGTCCCCCTGACCTGTTGGCCCCAGGAACCAAACTCCCCTGGGCTTCTGAGGGAGGCACAGTGGATGGGCTCTATTACCTGCCCACAGGCAGTTCCCCTAGCCCATTACCTGGTCTTCCTCTACTTCTCTACTCTGGGCCTCCCAATTCTGGTCCTTCTACCACTACCAAAGGCTCACCATTTTGAGTGTGAAGACTCCCCCAGGACCTGCCCACACCCCATTTCCCCCATAGGTCCCACCAAAAGGGGTTGTTATTCCAGCAGAGCCTCTGAATCCAACCTAAACCACCCCTCAGTTCCTTTAGCTTGGCACTTTTCTGACACACACCCACTCTAGATCCCAATCTTACACCACCCCCCAGTGACTTGCTCTTCTTTGCCTTTTTTGATTCCAATTTCCCACATCCACATCCACCACTACTACTCCCCACCACACACACCCCTGCCCCAGGCTTCTCAGACTCTAGATCCAATCGGGATATTATTACGACTCTGCCTCCAACCCCATTCCCCAGGGTACTGCTGAAGATGGAAGGGGGAACTCAGAGAGGAACTGTCATCCTTTCTTCCCAATCTATTCAGTTCTTTCCTGTGCCCTGGGGGAGTGGAGGTACTGATGTCAGTTATATGATTGTGTGTCTGACATGTGTCCTGTCGCCAGTGACAGCCCAAGAAAGTGGATGGCAGAACGTATGAGCCAGCAAGAGGTGTGAATGAGGTTTGAGGGAATAGGTTTGGAAGTCATACTGACCCTTGAACTCAAGATACAGGTTTTTTCTTGGAGTGAGAAAGAAAGAGAAGTAGCGTGTTCATGTGGGATTTGGGGCAAGATTTGTGCCAATTTTGAAGAGGTCTAGGAAAGAGATGGGAGGCATTAAGCTCATAAGAGGATGGATTAGGCTATATACCAGAAGACTGTATGGAGTGCTGGTTAGTGTTAGAGAGCTCTGAATCTTGTTTCAGGACAGGGGTGGATGTTAAGAGGAGAGGCTGGGTATGGGTGTAAAGTAGCCCCTCCATGGCCCGGGCCTGTTAGTAAAGATTCAGCAAATCAGTCAAGCTGCAAGCATTTATTAAGCACCTACTACGTCACTGGTACCAACAATAAAATAATCCCTACGAAGTAAGAGAGAGGGACTGGGGATGGGGGAGGAATAATGAGGGAGGCCAGGGTGGCCAGCTTGAAGCTGGGAGGTTACAGCTAAGATAACAGCAGCGGATTCCTCCAATATTACTCTCCTCTCCCCATGAAACAACATCACCACAACACCCTAGCTTAGATTCTTTTCTCCTTTAGAAGTGGCTGAACTTTTGTGAGTCAAATAGTTTAGAGTTAGGAGAGAATCTTAGTAATCATTTAGTCCAGCACTCCCCTTTTCATATGAGGAAATTGAGTTCCAGTGAAGGCAAGTGACTTACCCAAAATCATTAAGCAAGTTAGGTCTTGCAGAGCCAGGAATTTCAGGATCTTAGCATTTCCAGCAGTAAGAGTTATCATACAGAAGTGAATGAGCATCACTTCTTTTTTGTTTTTGTTTTTTTTCCGAGGCCATAGGGTTAAGTGACTTGCTCAGGGTCACACAGCTAGTAAGTGGCAAGTGTCTGAGGCCAGATTTGAACTCAGGCCCCCCTGACTCCAGGTGCTGTATCCATTGCACCACTTAGCTGTCCCTGAGCATCACTTCTGAAAGGTCTCCCAAGGCTGGACCGGTAAGTGTTTCGAAGGGATGGGATAAATGAGATGACCTGTTTTCCAGGTTCTTTCCAGAGAGTCTCTGATGCTGTGCTAGGGAACTTTAGACACGAGTTGTTTCTCCAGGTTGAACTTGGAGTTGTGATTGGGGATTGGGATGGGGTTGTTGGGCGTGTTAAAAAGTATCTCCCTCTATGGACTCCAGATCTGTGCTGTCCAATGACAAGTGCAATCCTGATCGAGTCCAAGGAACGTTAAAGAGGGAGGCAGAAGTGGGGTCTGGAGTATGTATGTGAACAAAGCTCCGGCATGGGGCAGGCTGTGGACGGAATAGGGGAGTGAAGTGTGTGTGTGTGTGTGTTGGGGTATTGATGTGGCATCTGTGGGTTGTTGATTAAACTGCTCTGTGCCTGCTGCTTTTCCTGGTAAGAAGTTTTAGAGAGAAGGGAATCCCCTGCCCTGAAAGAGCTGGCTGCTGCCTTCTTTTGTTGCAAAATGTTATTTCCCCCCCAGACTCCCAGGCCCCCTGCCCAGGGAGAGAAGCCCTTTGGGGAGAGTTGCTAGGAGAGGACAACCCAAATTAGCCATCAGGGGTTGCTAGATCAGGCAATGTTTGCCTTTGTTTCATGTGTGTGAAATAAAATGTCCACCAAAGGAACTGTGGTCAGTAAACCAATATGTTGTGTTTGGTCATCTGGTTTTTTTTGGCACTAATCCCATCAACTCCTGTGCCTCTGAAGTTGTCATCCTGGCTACTAAAGAGAGGCCTCTATCTCACATAGAAGGCAGATTCTGAAGGAGGAGGAGAGGAGGAGACATCTCCCCTCACCCCTACCCACTGAATGATGCCGGTACCTTGATAAGTTCAGACGCCTCTCCAGGTCTCAGTTTACCCACAAAATAGGGGTAAATTACCTGGGCCTCATATTGAGGGGATGGGGTTGGAAGACCCTCCAGGAAAAAGAGTGAAAAATTGGGGGAAAAAAAGGAAAAATTGACTTTTAAGACACACTACAATCTGAGGGAGGAGTGGGAAGGATTGAGTCAATTGATAGGGTGTTGGGGATATGGATACAAAGAGGTGGCAGGCCCCCATTGGTTTAAGCTGGGTCTTATTGCCACCTGGTTTCCTTACCAAAAGTGCCACACCCCAGTCCATACAGAGCCCTGCCCCACCACTGAGAAGCAATGAGGTTTCTGCTGTTGCTGCTGCCGTTGACTGGCTGGGGCCCCCTAGGGAGCCTTGGAGAGGGAATCCCCCAAGAAACCATCACAGCCACATCCCCTCATTTTGATGAAGAAGAAAAATATTCGACCCACATGCCCCAACATCTGCGCTGTGATGCCTGCCAGATCATTTCTTACCAGGTAAGAATCCTTCCCACCCCACCTCCAGACCGTCACTCATCTAGTGGCTCCCCTGAGCCCACACCAAGGACCAAAGTTTGGGGGAACAGGGCCATGTAGGGTACATATTTCAAGCGGTGCCCTGGAGAATGGGGCTCCAGAAAGCCACAAGTTTAGAAATGTCCCCTTCCACAGGCCAAGATGATGTCAGACTCACATGTCCTAGTGCCCTGTTGGCTTGAGTTGATTCATTCCCTCTCCATAGCCTCACAGTTTCATGCCTCAGTTTACTCTTCTGTCAGGCGAGGAGTAGATACATGTAACATAAATGCAAAAGGGCTTTGGAGCTCAAGTAAACCATTAAGGATGAGGGTGGAAGAGATAGCTCCAGTGGATTTTCTCATTTGAGATTTTTGACTTTTTTTTGTTTATTTTTTTGGCGGTGGGGGCAATTCTTAGATTTTTTTTTTTTTTTTGATCTGTACGTGCCTAGGGAGAACGGAGAAAGGCCACGTGCTTATTTGTGTGACACGTTTCACTAAGAGCTTGTTCCTTTCCTTGGGACCCTGTGAACACCTGGTATTTTCCTCCTTGGCATCTGGGCCTTTTCTGTTCTTATTCCTCCAGGGTTAAGAATGCCCTATGCAAATTGCCCGGTATTTCAGAGCACCAAGCAGATGGCCTTGGGGAAAATGAGAAATGACCCCCCCTGGAGCCTGGGTCATCCCCAGGATTTGGTGACTGGGTTAAAGCCTAGTGCCTCTCACTCTCCCTCTCCTCCTACAGGTTGGAATCTTGGCCCTTGGGGAAAACCCCTGCAGCCAAAGCTGGGGTTTCTGCATCTTCAGCTGAGGAGTTCCCAAGCAGCTCCCGGGGAGAGAGGGAGTTAATTCACCCCTTCCCAAATTTCCCCTCCCCCACTGGCCCTCTGGACAGGGGCCCAGACTCCCTCTCTGTTCCCCATTTCCCTGTTTACTACTAAGACCATTCCAGTGCCTAAAATCAGGGGGATAGAGGGGTAGGAGAGGCGAGGAACTAGTCCTTCACAGGTGCTTTCTACAGACATAGATCGGCCCCACCCCAACCCAGAGCTATACTTAGCCCAAAACTGTCCCTTGGGGCTCACTGTGCGGGGAACCAGGAGCCTTCTCTCATAAACGCTGCCTACCCCCACTACTTACCCAGTTCCAATTCCTTCCTCCTCTGTTTCCCAGTTTCAAATGTTGGCTCCAAAGTTAGTGTCTCCCCTGTTTCAGATGTGGAAGCATCTGACTGAAATGGAGACCAAGCGGCTGAGCCATAAGGCCAAGGGGGATTCTCTGAGTGAGTCTGAATACACCGATGTCCTGGAGAAAAGCTGTTCTCAGAGTTGGAAGAAGTGAGCTGCCTTTCATCCATCTCAAGCCACGCATTCCCTATGTCTCTCAGAGTCCTCGGACCTCTCCAGGAGCAAGGGGGAAGAAAGAGAAGAAATGACCACCAGGGGATTGGGTTGAGATGCTAGGATGGTGGAGGAGGGAGGGAGGGAGAGGGACTAAAATGGATTGTTCCTCCTTAATGATGCCCACCAACACAAACACACACACACACACACACACACACACACACACACACACACACACA